AGTCTCCTAAATTAAATAAGAGTCATCATGTTCGTCAAACACAATATATGGGTATATGAGATACCTAAGGTCTTATAACATTTAATTACCACCTGAAGTGGCTTATTTTTAGTAAAAAAAATCTCTTTACAAAGACACGTTTTGATATTTCAAGACCTTTGTTCTAATCAATATATGATTCCTCATCAATATTCTTGAAGAACGATGTAGTAAATTTATTATAATCAAAAGAGTGATTATACATATTATATTTTTTAGATGTAAGAGATTTTTTTCTCCTGTGATTAAAGAAGTTAGCGTAAATATAATGTTTCTTGTTATACAAAATTTATAGATAGCTCGAGAAGAGCATTGCATAATAAGAGCTGCATAATAGAAATAATAAGTCTCATAAATATTGAATATTTTGAGAGGATAACTATTGTCCTGCATTGACGAATATTCTGTTGGTATTGACAAATCCTTATTGTTTAAAGTGTCTCTATTAATGTTTAAGATACCAATGGAAATGAATATTACATGACACTTGATCGAGAGTTGTTTTCACGTAAACCAGAAGTTTACTGAACCAATTTTTATTTTAAACATAACCAATTAAATTATCACGATTTAGTTTGTGATGTGAAGAAAAAAATCATTAAGAACTCAAGTAAGTACTATTTGAAGAACTAGAAATTTTTGTTATTATTAGGACAAGAAGATCCTATAGTCTTGTTCTCATTAAAAGATTATTATGAGATTATTAACTGATGAAACTTGAGATTCATTTCATACATATTTAGAAATTGTTCAAGGAAAATTGATTGCGCCCTTCAACTATTCGTGATGACAATTTAAATGTTTTATATGATGTATCGTTGTATTTGTCATATTTGTTGACAATTAACTCGTAACCCGAAGTTTATGATATTTGTCCATATATATTATATTATGGACACAATTTATAGGTTATGTTGAACATCATTAGTCACAAAAGAGCGTGCAGCTCTAGTTAATATGCAAAGTGCATCGAATTAGTGGCCATACTTTTGATTATGAGAACAAATCATTTTATACTATATTTTGAATCTTCATTTATGTGGTAATTATTTGGAGCAGATGCTTAATGGGCTTAAATTAAGATAAATTATTAAGGTACCATAATGATAGGTAGAAACTAAGGGAAGGTTTTTGAAGGAGTTGATAAATTCTATATTATTACTAGATTATATATAATCTTCTATAAAAGATGTGAACCTGAAGTTCAACAAAGAAGATTGTACCAAGATATTGCAAATAAAGTGCTTATTATGAATTTTATCTGTCAATTGTAAATGCTTTGGTTAGAAGTGAATTTTTGACATTTTCTCAACCATTAAAAAAACAATGGTCTTATTATAAGGAACTTGTAGTTCCAACATATGAGAACCTGAAGTTCTTCTTCACATGTATTTTATATACACATGTTCATTTTTATTAATCCTTCCCCATAAATAAAATGTCAAATCTTCAAAATTTTGAGTTTCTTACACTTGATATTTCCTGAAGAGAAACAAGTTTGTCCCTTCTCACAATATTTGATTGTTTGATTGTGTGCCTTATATGCTCTCTCCCCCACAATGCATTCAATATAATGTAGAAGACTGTGTATTGACATTGGCTATAACTCCTCGTCTATTGTTAAATGTTTTAGAGTTTTTGACAGGAGATATATTAATAGCAAAGTAAGTTCATTGTCAATTTTATGATGAAATAATATTCCCAGTCTTAGGGGGAGATAAGAATAATGAAAGACTGGTAATACAAGAAATTATATGAAATGCATCATTGTAAATTTTCGACTCCTGAAGTGGTCAATATAATTTTGAAGTCTGATTTGCAAAGAAGAGCAAATGAATTACTAGATGCATTCACATATATGAGCAGAGTGACAAAGTTACGTATACCAGCATCTTATGCATCGCTCAATTTAAGGTAGTCCTAGAAGTGACTATTGAACAATTTATGTGGGAGAATAATTGGTTTCAAATATAAGAACCCACGAAAAAGAAGATAGCAAAAATGCTATTAGTAAAACCACATACATGATTATGAGTGAAACCCCAGAAGAGGTAATTGTCCCAGAAGAAGACTAATACTATTTCAGAAGTAAATGAAACCCCAGAAGAGGTAAATGTCCTGGAAGAGACTAATATGATCTAGAAGAATAAGTTTCTTAAAGAAACATCGGTACCGAAAGAAAACGAGATCTCTACTAATTATGTACGAGACTGTACAATATGGAACCAAAATGAAACACGTGTTAATGATATTCTTGCATATGCTATGGCAATGGATGTAATCAATAAAAGAGATTACATGCCTAAAACTCAAAGAGGAGTACATGTAGATATTACATAAATGATTTGCTAAATGGGAAAAGACCCTAAAGGTCGAATATAAGTCACTCAATAAACGGAATATTTTCGAACCTGAAGTCCAAACACCCATAGACGTCAAACCAATATGTTTAAAATGGGTGTCTGTAATAAACAGAAATAAAATGAATGAGATTGTGCAATATGAAGTACTACTTGTAAGACAAGGGTTTTTCCCTAATCCCAGGAGTTGATTATGAGGAAACGTATTCTTCACTAGTGGATGCAATATCCTTTTAGAATTTTAATTGGCCTCGCAATCTCAAAAGGACTTCAAATAAATGATATAGATGTCGTTATAACAGAATTATAAGGGACACTTGAAATCGACATCTGTGTGATAATAATCCCTGAAGGATTCAAAATGCCAGAAGCAATAAAATTAATGCATCGAGATATGTGTGAAAAGATCGTGGAATGGTCTTAAGTAATCTGGTCATATGTGGTACAATTGACCTAGTGAATATCTCGAAAAAGAAAGATACAAATTTGAAATCAACCTATGTGTTGTCATTCAAGGATCGCTCTTAATATTCTTTATTATAGCAGTTTACGTCGACATATAAATATCATTAAATCTCCTGAAGAGATAGAAAAAAAAACTGTTGAACTCTTGAAGAGAGAATTTGAGATGGAAGATCTTGACATGACATAAATTATACTTAGGATTGTATTTTAAACACCTGTATGATGGCACATTTGTTCATAAGTTAAACTACATCCAGAAGATGTTAACACGTTGAAATATGGATAAAGCTCATCCTTTGAACATACTCATGGTTGTTCATTCATATATATATGTACATAACATTCTAATCGCCTCCCAGAAGAGGGCAAAGAAGTACTTGGTCTTGCAGTACCAAATTTTTAGTGTGAAATTAGACAGGTAATGTGTTCACATATGGTGATACGACTTTTTCTTGGAAGTCGACTGAGCGAGCACGAACAACAACATGGAATCAAGCCGAACTGATAGCTTTATACAACAGTGATAGAGAGCGAGCATGGTAGAGATTGATGATCAATCTCATACAAGGAGCATGCAATTTGAAAGAAATCAAGAACAATGCTACAATTATATATAAAGATAACGCAACATGCATAGCTCAAATCAAAGAACGCTACATCAAGGGAGACAGAACGAAGCAAATCTCAGCAAAGTTTTTCTCAACATCTGATCTACATAAAGGAGAGATCAATGTTCTTCAAGTTAAATCAAGCAAAATTTGGCGGACTTATTCGCCAAATCTCTACCTAGACACAATTTTGAGCAACTCAGAAAGAAGATTGGACTTCGCAGGCTAAAAGAGATAAATTAGTTTGAGGGGGAGTGTATTTTTATTTTGCGGGAAAATATTATACACGCTGTACTCTTTTTCCCTTAACTAAGTTTTGTCCCACTGGGTTTTCTTAGTAAGGTTTTTAATGAGGCAGCATAACTGATCCTGCAATATCAGTTAATATAGGTTCTGAAGAACCTAGCCAACATTATCCTATAGCATAATGTTGTTAGTGTATAATGAACGATGATATATCTGAGGGGGAGTGTTAAATATGGCAGATATATTACTCTTAGTATTTAGAATATCTGGTTACCTTGTTTACCTAGACTTTACCTCCTCCCCGTGTATGTATAAATACCCCGATATATGATGAATAAACTACTCAGTTCACAACAACTAAAATATTATTAAAATAATACCCCGGAGTAATATTTTTATATATTCCTTCACTAAATTATACGGAGTAATTTAAAAAAAAATTGGTTCAAGTTTATTATGTGTAAATTATACTTTTATTTGAGTTTTAATTATTGTGTATGAGCATAAAAGTATTCACAAAGATTCAAAATACTCCTTTATTGTCATTCATTTTTAGTTTGTGAAATATAAACTAAGTTTTTGATACACATCTCTTGCATTTAAATATTCATTTTTTTTAATTTTTCATGTTTTTTTATTTAAATTCACTTTTAATTTTCAAAAATAAAAAGGTATTGTTAAATTTTAATGTGTAAAGTATGTATGTATCTTCATCCCGATTTGTACCGAAACCGACACCGAACCATCCCGAACCACACTGAACCGATATTTCGGGATCGGGATCGGTACGGAGTAAAATCCCATACCGAACCGAAATATTTGGTACAGTATCGGTACGAGCTAAATACCGTACCATACCGTATCATGTTCACCCCTAACCAAGATATTCAATCATATCTTGAATTCAGTTTTTTTAAAAAATAGATGTTTCCCGAACCATCGCATACCGGAATTTTGAGATCGGTATCACTAAAATGTAAAATCCCAAAATAGTAGCAATACTCTACTTTGACCCCAAAAAAGCAATGCTACTTTGCCTCACATTTGCCTCCCAAACACTTTTTTTCCCACAAACATAGAAACATAGATGCGCACAAGCCCTTCAAAATGAAAAAAGAAGAGGTTGGGGCAAAATGAAGTTGCCCATCGAAAAAGCTTTTCATAAAACATTTTTGCCCGACTGCAAGCGCCCCATGATATATTTGGAACGTTCACTTTAAACAGGCTAGTAAATGGCTTCCCAAGATATATAGGCAGACAACATAAGAAATGAAACAATTAAATTAAGTTCAGTATTTCTGCCATCTCCGTAGTACTTTTTATTTTGAAGTTCTATGAGTTAAATAATAAAAAATGAAAGGTAAAAAAAAAACAAAATTTCTCTCAACACACCAAAGTCGCTATATAAATTACACATAAAACAAAAACCTCTTTTTTTGTTAAAAAGCTACTTGCTCTTTCTAGTCTTGGTATAAGGCATCTCATAGACGAGAAAAAACGTAGGCAAGGAAAAACCTTTGTGGCTCAGCGTTTTCCGGCGGCTCTCCGGAACGACGGGGCAGAATCCTCGTCGTCAGACTCGACGTCTCCATACTCCCACATCCCAAGCCTCTTCTGTCGTGCCTCATTTTGGGATTTTTCCAGCTCCTCGAGGATATGTTTTGGAATCCTTCGTTTCTCCATCCTTGCAAGCCCCTCCTGCATATAGTTAGTTAACCCAATGCCATGATTAGTCTCAACTCAACTGAGGTTAATTAATAATAAAAAAGTCATGCATGGTGGGACAACGATTCGAACCTTGAGCATAATAGAGTTGATGCTGGTGGCATCTGCTTCTGACTCGACTAGGGTAACCATAAAGACTGCTCCGGTCCCTTGTCCCTTAGATTTTCCTCCTGAAGTGTCCTTCTCCTCAATCACGGCCTTAAATTCTTTGGAGGAACTTAGGAGAAGCTCGCTGAGACGAAAAGCAGCCTCTTGGCCATAATCGTCCTCCAACCCAGGTACCTTGAGAAAGGCAAGGCTGCAAAGCTGAGCAGCACCTGGAGTAGAAGACACTGATCCATCAATAGGGCGCATCTTACTGTACGGAACAGCTTCTTGATTTCCATAGTCTATGTAGAACACTTCGAACTCGTCTGCTGGCGACTCCACAGCACCTCTAGGGCCATTCACAATCTTGGCAAGTAAAATCAGGAAAGAGAGATCAGATGCATGCATGATCAAACTCTTAGACTAAATGAATTATAAATCCTATGAAAGGTTATAGTTTATTGCTCACAAGACAACTAGGCAGAGCATAAATTTCTGATTTTAAATAACTATTGAGTACTTAGCTCTGACCCAATATCGTGGCATTCTTTTGGCTGGGCACGAGAATTAAGAAAGTGAAATTGTGTGGTTGAGGTTTGTGCAGAGTAGGGAGTATTGACCACATATTCTTTTCATAAAAAGGAAATGAGACACCATTTTGTGATGGACAAGAAAAGGAAGTGGAATAAAATTCTAGGCAGATGCCAGATGGAGTATTAGTTAAGAATCTAGGGCAGATAATACAAAATCAGATAAAGTTCTTAATGCCTCGGTCGATATCTAACTAGATACAGATTTGAATAGTATGAATAAAAAACTTCAAGCATACCATTGCACGGTTCCATGAATTATCGGCACTAAATTGTGCAAGCACAATATCACCCCTCTTAGGATTGAAAGCGCCAATTACAGGTGCCTCTTGAAGGTTTAAACAAGCAAGCTGCTTCTGAATAGATGCCACTTTCTGATCAGCAACGGATTGAACATAGAATTTACCACCTTCCAGAACTTCCGTAACAATTACCTGACATCATTACACATGGAAAACTGAGTAACAGTTGGGAATTCAGAGAAGAGAAAAAACACCCGACTAAACAAATTCACCTTCAACTCTTCTTTTTGCCTTCTCTCAGCAGCAGGACCACTGGGAACATCCTCTCCCTCTACGTAGTTTGCCCATATCTGTATTAGTTGGAAACGGTAAAGGATGGAACATTAAGTTTAGGTCCAAGAGGAACATTGCCAAATGAAAGAAACAAAAGTATAAAGCAAAACCAGTTACATACCTTCAGTTTCTGTTTTTTAGCAGACTGCTCGGCCTTAGCAAGAAGGTGGGCATCTGGGATAGAACCAAACGTAGATAGCCTGGCCAAACCGGCTTCGAGAAGTGCCACTGCACAGTTTGTTCTTGACTCCCATAACGTGCCCAAGAATGTTCCAGTTCTATCAACATTTTCTATTTCTACCTGCATACAGAAGATTGTGCTGAGATGGTTGTGCAAAGGCAAAGAGCAGAAACTGCGAAACAGGAATTAAAGAAAAAATTACCTCAACATCCCTCTGCATTATCTTACGCCTCATAAGGGCAATGGCATCATCCGAATATGGTTCTCCCCGGCCGGGACATCTAACACCCGATAAGGATAATGCGATGCTGCATGTTTCCTTTGGAATGAACAATTTAAATCGATGACCACTAAGAACATATTCCACAACAGCAGACATCCTTCTGTTCCTTTGCAGGAAAGGAAGGAAATCCCGGGCTTTCTTTACAGAAGCCTGAAAATTCCAATTAAAAATTGGTTACTAATTTTAAAACAATCCAGTGGAACAAAAGTCAGAATTGAGCCATTGGAATACTAACAGTTGTCAAGTCTGTTATGTGAACGGCTGGAGGTTGCTTAGGAGAGTGCAAGCCCTTCTTTCCAGCAGCAGCACGCACTTCAGCAGAGAGAAGAGAATCGTAAAAGTTTGATCTTTCTTCAAAATCACGATGCTTGATAACCTGTGCCAAGCCACGGCCCACCAAAAGCTCAGCTACATTCAACCCCATCTGCTGATTAGCTGCAGATGGAGCAGGTAGAGTATCGTCTCCATCCTTAGACACTAAGAAGACAGAGCCAAAATCCATGACCCTTGAATCTGTACCACTAGCAGCAGTCGCATTACCATCTCCCAGGCTGACCTTTCTGGAGTACTCCATTGAAACATATACCTGGAAAGAGCTAAGATTAGCCCTCCTTTAAATAAGTCAAGATGTGCTAAAATATTATAATGAGTAACCATACATGTTTCCCAATCAAGCGTGTTCTCAAAAATTCCTTTGCTTCCCTTGCATAAGGCAGAGGTTTTTCATCCCTACGAGGGTTCCCAATCTTGGGAGCCCGAATACTTGAGAGATTAACTCTTCTCTCGGCAGATGGATCTCCAAATGGCAATGAATCATCGGCTACAACAATGCAATCTCCACTTACAACCTCAACCACCTAAATTGAAACAAAAGCAAATGAGTGCAAAATTTCAATCATAAAAATGGAAGTGGAGAAAAAGTCACCAGACCACTGACTTTACCTTTCCTGTGAAATTCTGGTCATGAATAGCCTTTGAATTTGAAGGTGGAGGTGTGTAATTTGTCCAAATTCGTAAGCGACTTTTCTTTGCTTCAAGTTCTGCATTTTTCAACTGCCTCTTAGCATCTTCTTCTAAACCGCTTGAACTCCATTCAACATATTTGGCAAAACCCTGGAGAGTGACAGAAAACTGATTAGCTCTAGATCGGTGACCAAAGGAATTCTTTCAATGGGGATTTAAAGTATAAAGGAACATTATTGTGTAGACGTGCGTCACTGTGTACGCGTATTAACTATGCAGTAGCATTTCAAACTTCAATTGGAATAAAGGAATTGCATAGGAGTGACGGAGATAAAAAAGAAACATAAACATCCAAACTACTTAGTGAAATCAAACCCAGTGGGTTCTGGATCAATGCAAGAGATTAAATAACTTCTATACCTTACAGATAGGAACGAAATACGAGTATATGGACGTTATTGTATTATACAACATTGAAACTTTTGAAAGCAATAATGTTTCGTGCATACATTTTGCACCAGCTCCAAGCCAAGGTCTTTTAGTGATCCACCATCATAATAGTGAATTGAACCAATTAGGTTAAATTTATCAGCGCCCTCTAGAACAATCCGTATCTGTAAAAAAGCAGAATTCAGAAAGTTTTCATAAAAGTGGCTCACAAAAATAGACCAGAATATGTGAAACCTACATCTCTGTTTAATACGCGAAGTTCCGTAAAATGCTTGGCTTCTCTACCATACAAATCAGGTGCTACTTCATTCATGGGAGTCGCCGAAGCAGCAAGTCGCTGAGCTGATGTTAGGGGTCCACGGGGCTCAGCAGATGAATCTCCATTTGCTTCACTTGGGGTGGTCTCAGTTTCAATAGAAGTGTCAGCTGGTGCCCTTCTTCCCATGGAAGGAGCCTAGTTAGGAGATTGAAAATTAAAACCAAAACGGCAGAGCATTACAGCATAAATCATTAGAAGAATAAACCTTAAAAAAATAGCATAACAAGCATAGGAAACCCTACTACCTGAACTCCAGCTGCATAAACTTGGACAAACTGGAAGTCTGGAAGTAAATACACACGGAGTGTGCTTCCATCGCGTATCTGCTCAACAATAGCTTTCAACGTCTTCCCTTTGTTTGCAGCCAAGAAACCCGTTGAGTCAAAGTTACTAGAGTTACCAATGGCAGAGGGAGGTAAATTCCTGATGGATGCTTCAGAAGCACCAGGCTCCTGAACCAGTGGTAAACCAGTTAGGCTACACTTTTTAAAAGCAAGCCACCGTATCTTATATTATACCATAAACGAAAAGGGTAAAAGCAACATAAAATGTAAAATTGAAGATATCTTACCTTAGTAAAACCCTCTTCTTGAATAATCAGAGAGAGAATGTAAAGAAAAATATTTTTATGAATATCATTGGGGGAGATGCATGGAGAGGAATTAAATTAATAAAAAAACATTTCTGTCATGTCGTTCAGTGTTATATAAAACTGTAAAGTGCTGAAATAACTGCGTAGGACCATTGTTTATCTTGTAGACCTATGGACTACCAGAAGTTAGGGCATCACCTCGTCCTTTACTACTACTGCTTCCCCCTGCCCAAGTCCACCTCTGCTTTACCACATTCATTCCTGCACCCATCCCCTTCAAGCCAAACATTGCATCTGATCCATATACGCTCTTAGCTTCATGACCATCCCCTTCATCTTAGTTCTAAAAATGTATGCTCCTACATCTATTGTATTCTTTTCCCTTCATTTGTTCTCCCCATTCTCTTTCAGCATCCCCAGAATGGGCCAATACTGCCAGGCTTTCATTCTTTTTGTACTCCTCCCCTCCACAAATAGAATGCAAATGCAATTACCCAACCTCATTTATTACTTTTCTTGTAGAAATTGGTGGCTGAACAATATCATATACCCATAGTAGTTTATACGGAGTAATATAGTAGGAAATTGAACTCAAAGACGTGCAACATATAACCATTTAAAGAAGGAAAAAAATCAAAGCTCTACGAGCCTTTTTAATACAGTTAAATGTTTTGGTAAATAGAGCCACGTGGCTTGAAGAAAGATACAATGTAATTTCAATATGTGGTATCAAAAAACTGAACTCACCCTAGTCCAGCGACCTAGGCCTTGTTGTTTGGCCTGTTCTTCAAGGCGTAGTAGTTCTTGTAAAATGGGGCTAGCTTCTCCCTTTTGCTGTCCCTGATCTCTAACCTGCATCCACCAGAATCAGATCACCTTATAAGAATGTGGATTCAAAAGAGACTTGCAGGTCGAGAATTGAGTAGTATCAATAACCTTTGCCCAGCCTTCAGCAACAACTAACAAGGAAACATTCTTATCGCCAAGGAAAACAGAGCCAAAATCTCGCCCTATAGAAGGCACAGTGTAATCAACTTTGAAAGTGACCTCCTAAACACCAATAAGAATAAAGCTGAGATAAGAATTTAAGAATTACAAAAAATAGTAGGAAAAAAGTAATACTAGTGTAGTTGATTCATAAGCACCTTTCCAATGCAAAGATTCCTCAAAAACTCCCTGCTGGCCCATGCAAATGGCTCATCCAAACCACCGCGGCGTGCCTAGTAGGAAATCACATTAGCAACGATGAAAGCTTAGATAAGAAAGACTCACTCTATACTCTATAAAATATATTCCGTATACACTACTAGCAATTCCAGCATGACAAGATGCAACCAACTCAAACTGAGCATACTTTACTCCCTCAGTGTGATCTCATTTGCTCCTTCCATCTACTGTTTTATTGGTCAATTTGAAAACATTTCAGCATGAACTCTACTGAAGATACATTAAATAACAATTATACAATATGGAGTACCATTTTACTTAAAATTAAAGTGAAAATTTTCAAAATGACAAGTATATTACTTATTTATCAAAATGATGAGTCATGTCTACCATCATAACCACAAACAAATGAAAGAGTACAAAAGAGCAATCCCAAACCTTTTTCAAANTAGTAGCAAGAGAGCCATTGCTGAAGCAAATTAATGTGTTGAAACAGTGCTTGAAGTACAATTAACAGAACATAATTTTTAAAGTACAACATCAATAAGAAGTGAATTGTTGGGACAGCAAGAGCATACCAATCTTGGTGCAATCAAGGACGACAAAGTTATGGTCTTTTCCGGGGGTATTTCAGCCTTGGTATTCCCCATTATTACCACACAGTCACCAGATGGAACAGCTTTCACTCTTCCCCTCAACCACCCTGTGGCTCCAGCTGTTGATGCCATTTCAACAGCCAAAGGTCTGCAAAATTAAGTTCACACCAAAAATCAAGTAAGGCACCAAATGGATTCGTCACGGAGAAAAGCATAAATTCAAAAAATAGATCTTTTAACACATGTTGACATGATTAGAGAACTTTCTGTACCCCAATAAACACACCACATCATGAGAATTCATTGTTAAAGTCTCAAAGCTAATGAGACACTCGAGTTGCTGACATACCCTTCAGCAAAGAGGTAAAATCTTAAAAGGTAGCCTATGTACATAACTTATGCTTCCAAGTTCTGAATGATATATCAATTTTGCTAAAGACAGAATCTTCCCAGTATGCATACCTCAATGCATACTGTCCCTTAACGCATTTAAAAAATTGTAATAAATCTTAACAAATGTGCGATACCTGAATATAGTCATCTCAAAATTTCCTAGAAAATAACATTTTACACCCAAATTAAAATGAATGCTGACAAAATGAAGAAAAATATTTGTCTGATTTGGAGGGGAAGAAAAAAAAAGCTTTCACTTTCAGATCGGAGAAGCAGTACTTTAAAATTGAGTCAGCAGATCCAAATAACTTAAACTTAAATTTAAAAAAAAAAATACACAAACAATTTTCTTCTTTTTTCCTGTAACAAATCTGAAACGTGATCTCAAAACTATCACTAGCTCCGTAACTAACTAACCACAGATCAGAACCGTTAACACGCTACTGAAATCAGCAGCCATGCGTAACAGATCAATCAAACAAGGCCATCTAAAACAGAGCAACATCCACATTACCACGCAGCATCAAATATCCGATCAAGCCAGACTCAGTAGATTACGATGCATGCAATGAAAAGTGATAAATCCGCACAAACAAGCGGAGATCTACAAGACGCGCATTGGCGATCGATCCAAAATGAGGCACAGAACGGTAAAACACGAATCGAAAACGCAAAACGAGCTCGATTGAGCGGATACAGATGCGCGAAGGCCATAAAAACAGCTTAAATTGAGATAGAATGAGACTTTTTTACCTATACGAGCAGAGAGTTGCAGGTTCTAAATCGAGAGGAATTGGAGGATGAAAGCCGGAGGATAGGAGAGCCGACGAGCGTGTTGTGTATATATATGGACATGTTGTATATATTTAGTGTGAGAGAGAAAGAGAAAGAGGACGGAGGGTAGAGGCCCTTTTGGGAAATTACTGAAAAGGGCATGGGTGTTTGTGTACTCTTTCTACAGTTGCGACTTTGTTGAGATCTACGGACTAACTCCATTGCTCCCTCTCTCACTAATCTATTAAATGCGCCTTCCACTTCATAAAATTGTTTTAGGTGCCCTTCAATGAGTTTTATTTCGGAGTATTATTTATAGCTTGGAAAAATTATCTTACAATAATCTCAACTCCCAACTTTAATACCTTTTTCAAAAATAATTTTAATAATTCAAATTTTTTTAAATTTGCGAATTTTAGATCACCGCTAAGCTGCTAACTGTTGGTTAACAGAAATGACTTTTTTTGCTTAATAAAATTAAAGTTCAAATTTTAAAATGACTTTCTGCCACCTTAATTTATTTTTATTTTGTGTGTGTGTGTGTGTGTGTGTCTATGGGCTGGTTCAAGTGAGAATGCACCTTGATGAATGAAATAAGAATAAAATCTGGTCTTTGGATCTGATGCATCGTGCGGCTCAGATTGCATTCTGCACTCAAATTTTGAGATAGTGCATTTTCAAAGGATTATGGTGCATTTCGACATGATACATTTTCAAATCATCTTGGTGTCCCTAATTTTGATGCAATCCTAACTCTTAGATCTCCCAATCTAATGCACCAGATTCATTAGATTGCATTCTTATTTCTTTCATTAGATTGCATTCTCACCTGAACCAAAATATATATATATATATATATATATATATATATATATATATATATATATATATAAAGTGATGAGTGATGGTTTCTAACATTTTGCGCACTATACTAAGCATATTAATGTATTACTTCTTCCTTTTGGTCAAATATAAAAAAATAACAAATAAGAATAAAAAAATTTATTTTCTTAATAAAACCCTAATGAAATAAAAAAAATCTTATTTTTTATTTTATTTCCATTTTTATTTTCTTTTTTAAGGTTTTAATAAGAAAAAAAATTCTTGTTTTTTATTTTTATTTTTTTACCAATGGGAAAAAGAGATATATTAATACATTGTATAGTGCCTAAACTTTTGTACTTAAAATTGATTAGCTTTGACCATAAATTAAATAAAATTTATATTAAATTATTTTGAAAATATAGCTTTATATAATTAATATACCAGGATTGTAAGAAGTTATATCTGAACGAATATTATAGGATAAAGAGAATATTTTATTGTTGCACAAAAAATTATGCATTATTTTTTTGATAGATGTAAAAAATTCAACCAAATAGTTTCACTGTGACTAATAATATACTATCTATGTCTCATATTTTTTTCTCATTTGATTTTTCACAATTTCTAATGAAATGGATTTACCATAAATATTTTTTTATATATAAATATAAATTATAAAAATATGATATTTCAGAACTACATTTCTAAATAAATCTATTTTTATTAAATCTATATCATAATTCAATGTATTTTTTGTAAGTTATGATCAAATTTTAAAAACGTTAACTACAAAAATCAAAATGAAAAGAAAGTTATTGGAGAGATGGAGTAATATGGCGTACTCTGTGCTTCATATTCTGTATTAGAACTTGTTATTTTTATGTCTGATCTCATTGTAACTGATTTGATTTTATTAAGATATGATCTGGTCTATAAAAAAGTGTGTCAATATTCATTCAAACTTTAGTCTATTTCAAAAATCATAATTATCAATTAGTTAGAAATGAATAGAGTATCAAGATTAGTAATTGCTTTATACATATATATACACTCTAATGGAATGGATAAATGATAACAAAACTATTATTTTTACAAAGATAATTGCTATATATATATATATATATGTGTGTGTGTGTATATATATGTGTGTGTGTGTGTGTGTACACACACACAACACGCACACACACACACACACTATTTTAATAAAAGTATTTGATAATTATGTTTTATATTTTATACATAAATGTGAATATAATATAAAAGTTCAAAAACAACAAAAACTCAGTTAAACCCTACAAGAGTATGCTCTGGGGAAGATGTGTGTATGCAGACCATGCCCCTACTTGATAAATAGCTAGACTTAAGCCACACAGATAAATAGATCACAGGAGATACATAAGTATAAAAGGCGGAGATAAAGCACAAAGCACATAGAGGTAAAGATCAAACAAGCATTAATTAAGGAAAAGTAATACAATCAGAGAGCACCCAACATACACGGTATACAAAGCACATAAACAAGTGTATTGAAACTATCACTTAGTCCAATGCGCGTATATATCCAACTATTCCAATTCAAGTTCTCCAAACGTCCTATCTAAATGTCATATCATCACTAAGGACAAGAAGTTATAGTTTCTATCTAATCACATCCATTTAATTCTTTCTAGGTCTACGCATTCTCCTACTCACACCCTTCGACGGAAGCCTCTCACATCTCAACAGTGGGTGCCGGCATTTTGCCGCTTTAGATACCCAAACCACCTCACCTTCGCTTCTCACATTTTCCACATGTATCATGCGTATCTGACCTCGGATACCCTTTTTTGAAATCCTATCCAACCTTATTTGCTCGTGTTGTAGCCTATAACATCCTCACCTCTGCATATATATTTTTCTAATTTAATATTTTTTCACTTCATTTATAATAAAACTATAATTGAATAGATAAGACTTCCCTACTAAATTTTTCTTTAAAACCTATAAAAACATTCATATTTATTTGTTATATACTTAAATGAAGTTAGTTTTAATTCTATTTATATAAATATTTATGTAATATAAATAATATATTTTATTCTTTACTTTGAAATTCTATAAAACAAGAAATCATTGGGCTCTTTTTTAAATGATCAAATATTTAAATAAAATAGGTTTAAAAAGAATGTTTTCACAGGCTAAATGATATCATATTCAAACAAAAAGCAAAAAATGGAAAAACAATTATCAAATATTTTTATAAATTTCTATTCAGAATAATAAGATCCCTAATTTTTTTTTATAAATTCTTTTTTGAATTATTGCGGGGGAGAAGAATAATTTGAATTTTTAATATTTTTAAATTAATTTTTTCATCATAGAATCATAACTGGTAGCTCCCAAGAATCCTACATGGCTTAATGTTATTGGCTAGGAAATCCGACGTGTCGATTAAATGTCGTGGCAAAGTGGCAATACACGCCGTCCTTGTCGGTCCCTAAATCGGGCGGTTATTTTTCCTAACAAAAGTCTTGCCCAAACGTGGCTCAAAGAAAGGAAATCGGTGCATATGGAGTAATAGTGATAATTAAAACTAAAATGAAAACCTAAAACGGGTAAAAAAAGCAGCGGATAAAGGCAAAATTTTGTACCGTTCTAAGAAAGGGATTTCTATCTCTTCGTCCGTTTCAACCCTTTTCCACGCAAAGCGATAATTTAAATTAAATGCCCTCTGTATGGTAGCATTTACCTTACCGGAAATACGTATTGTATGTGAAATTATTTGCAGTTTATTACTCCGTATATCTATTATTGACTTTTAGTGATTTGTTGCATTTATTATACTTTACATTTTTATAATCGGTTGGGTTCAATAGCCGTTTTATAATAAAAGTTTAAAAAGTAAACTTCATAAATAGTCTCTTATATAGTTAGTAATTTTATAATTAATCTCTAATTTTAAGGTATTACATTCCTAATCTTTAATTTCTGAAAATTATTTCATACTTAGTCTTTTAAACCAAAAAAAACCACATATATGAATGAATTTTCAAGATTGAAGATTATGAATATAATAATAATATCTTAGAATTGAAAAGTAAATATCAAAGAGTGGGGCATACCATTATTTAGAACTTACTCACATAAAAAATATACTTTTTTATTTTTTTATTAAAAAATAGATGCTTATTTAAATACTAAAAAATACGTATTTTACTCATATAAAGATCTATGATGGACCTTAAGTCCACCAAAGAATTTGTCAATATCAAAAGCCACTTGATATAAGGGCCTATTTATGTAATTTATTTAAATCTAAATATATTCAATAAAGATTTGAAATCTTTTTTATTATTTCCACCGATATTTAAAGGTATTCAATTTAGACTTTCAAAACTGATAAAACAAATTCAGATTTTGGAAAACGAAAATAAATTATTTAATTTTCAAATTTGATAAAAAATTCACTTTAAAAAAGGAAAATAAATTATGTAGTATTCAGAATATAATAAACATGTAAGGAAAAAGCAGAATTATTCGTATTCTTTGTCTAAGCTATTCATTTTAGAGAACTACTTTTGTCTTAGTGCCTATAGTTTGACTTTTTAGAGTAAAAAAAATAAATTTTGATCATCAATAAAAAAATTACACAACATCTTACTACAAAAATAATTTAACTAGATTTATCTTGTTTTTTCAAACAGATTTATCTTGTACAACATTTTTTAAAATTTTTTTCATTCTATTAGTGAGTAATATACAATATAATTTTTGTTTAATTAAACTTTTATCGTCGAACAAAACCTCTTTCGAACTCTATTTGGGAATTGAAGCTTCTCTTTTTGGAGTTTTTGCTATGCGTTTTTTTTCAATTAGATGATTTCCAAATGCATGATCAAGAAAAAGAATATAAAATCAATAAATATAGAATGAGTCTTAAATAATATGTTTGAAAAATGCAATTATGAAAGGCAAATTGTATTGTGGACCTAAGATCCACTATGAACTTACATATGAGCAAAATAAACATTTTTTATTATTTAAATAAGCATTTGTTTATTGTAAAAAAAATAAATAAGCATTTGTTTTTTTAAAGAACAAAATAACATAAAATTTTTCTTATATGAAAATTCACAATATTGATATGCACCCAAGGTGCACCAAAGAAGAACTCATTATGAAAATGAACAAAACATAAATATTATTCATTTACCGGGTAATTGTCTATAGATTTGAATATTTACACTTAAATCATTTACACAAAAGTCAATGAATTTGAAAAAAATAAACACAAATTTAATGATTTTGTTGCCATCCACAATCTTCTACGGAGTATTATATTTAAAGATTTACAAATATGTGTGTGTACTCAGATGCAATACAACTATCTTATTCTTTAAACAAGAAATTGTATAAAAAATTACCCAAAATAGAACTAAAACATTGTCTATATCCTAAAAATAGAAGTTCTAAGTTTTTATCTTAAAATAGAAATTTGCATTGTGATAACGTGAGATTGTATATTGACATTTCAATATTTTTATTTGGTATTGATGGGTGTATTCCACCCACGACCGGTCAAAGGAGAAGGCCAATTAGTTGACCGGTCAATCTCGAAAGTTTGGGAAGGGAAACTTAAATCGTCAGCAAATCGATATGTAATCGGCCCAAAGATGACCGGTGTACTTCACGAAAAAGTATACCGGTCAAACTACTTTGTCCCCCTATTTTTCCCTAACTTCGATGATTTCATCCCACGGAGATTACCCGGTGTAGTTTCTAGGGTTGGAAAGTGTCGGCAGAAGAGAATCTAAGAGGGTTTGGCGTGTAGCGACCCATGTCAGTAGAGGACAACTGGAGATGCCGAAGAATCCATCCAAGGCACTACTCGACAAAGGGAGTAATCCCCCTCACAAGGCGACAAGGCAGCTCGAGGACGAAACCAATCACCTCGCACCGCATCAGCAGCGTGCCCCCACGTGGGCGCACGTGGTCTTGTCCCCCATAGCCTAGTATAAATACTCATGTAAACCTCAGAAAGAGGGATCCGAATTCATTCTCTCTAACTCCCTTGAAAAAGCACCCGTGCATTCTCCGTTATAATATAAATTGGGCTACAGGTGTTCCACCTAAAGTCCTACCGGTCAATCTGTGTGTTTTTACCTTTCTTACTTTGCCAAATCAAGCAAACTATTCTAGACCCGGTCTAGTATAGTTTGACCGGTCACGTAATTTACACCATCATTTTTGGCGCCACCCGTGGGACCGTTAAGGTTTCTTCTCTTTTAACACAGACCTACCCACAAAAACACCACTCGAAATGTCTTCCAGCCAACAAATCAACGCTACTTCCACTCAGGTGCAAGCCACCAATGAGGGTACCAGCATCCCTGTGGCTGCTACCATACCGGTCATTTCAGCCCCGGTGTTGCCTTTGGGTCTGAGCTCTGTCCCAACGCCTAGCGTGATCAGCCCATTCACAACCCCCGTCCCTTCTGCTGGACCAAGGGTCACGTTCCCACCAAGCATGACTCAGTTCATTAATGACCCAGCCAACCTACAAGCCATCCAGGGCTTTGGCAAGGTCATGGCCATGTGCCAACAGAGCGGGGGGATGCCTTTTCTTTCTGGTATGTTCCCGTTCGCTCTTCCAGGCACGGGAACCATGCCCTTACAAGCTCCGATGGCGGTGACGTCGTTCCAGACGCCGATGCCGCAGCCATCACCTTTCCAACCCCAGCTGGTCAGCACCATGGCCCCTGTCAACTTGACTGGCGCACTTAACGCTGCAGGGCCGTCGCGTCCCCCGCAAGGTACGAATCCGCAGATCACTCCTGATGGTCATTGCATCTCAGTTGAGAGTGATGACGGCGAGTGGGACATTCCGAGGGCCAACAAGAAGAAGAAAGGAAAAAACATCCGGCCAGCGACCTCCCGAAACTCCGCCTTCGAAAGGCTGGGGGGATAGGGAGGAAGGCCAGAGGAAGTCACCCAAGCAAAGGCTGGGGCAGAGCGTTGCCCATGTCAGCGCGTTCGCCCGATTAGGCGAGGTGCGGGAGGCCGAGCCTGCCCGCACCCGGCGCTCCCGGTCTAACCGGCAGGAGCCTGCGAGGACGAGGGCCTCTCGTCAGGAAAAGGAAGCAGAGAGCCAGCCCAGGTTACCAATGGCGAACCGGTTGACCATCCCAAATGACCGCGTCCAGCAGATGGAGGCAAAACTGGAGAGGCTGGAAAAGAAGGTCGGGGAAAAGAATGACCGGGACAAACCCTTGGCGGGGTCCCCGTTCACCACGAGGGTCCATCTGACACCTTTCCCGAGAAAGGTCAAGATTGACGCCCCTAGATTCACTAGGAAGGAAGATCGGGAAATCCATCTGGACTCCTTCAACGAGAGTGCGACCATGAACGGTTGCACCGATGAAGAAAAGTGCCTTCTTTTCTTCCAGACCTTGCGGAACCGAGCCACTGAATGGTTCAATAAGCTTCGCCCGGGAAGCATTGATTCGTTCAGTGATTTGGCCTCGAAATTCAAGGCCATGTTCTAGGAGAATTGTACTAAGAGGAAGAAATTCACCTATCTTAGTACAGCCGGGCAGAGGGAGTCTGAGAACCTTACTCAGTTCCTTACCCGGTGGAAGGAAGAGGTAGACAAGGTGGAAGAGATGGATGACAAGACCGTCTTATCCCTCCTCTTGAATGGCTTGCGTGCCGGGGAACTATACAAGGAGTTCTGCCGGAAACCCCCGGCCACGTACCAAGAGGCCTACCACACTGCATGGGAGTTTGCTGAGGCTGAAACCCAACTCCGGGCAAAGAAAGAAGCTGAGCATGGTTACAAGCCCAAGCCGGTGCAAGTCAAGAAGGAAGAAGCCCCGGGACCTAGCCGGCCAAGACACCACTATGACCTGGTTGTCCGTGTGGTCAATACGGAGGAATGCCAAGAAATCCGGAAAGCACCGGTCACTCTTCCGGAAAACCCTACCGGTCAAACAGGGCGGCAATGGTCGGGCACCTATTGTTCGTACCACAGGTCAGATTCCCATAACACCTCCGAATGCAAAAGTGTTAAGGGGGTGATCCGGCAGATGATAGACAGTGGAGAACTGGGCAATGATTACTTGCAGAAGGCCCAGGAGAAGAGTCATCAGTGGGTTAGGCCAGCTGCCCCGGGAGATGACCAGGACAGCGACCGGCGAAGGAATAGCCGGCCAAGGGAACGGAAACCTGCTCCCGAAAAAGAGCACATCGGCATGATCTTCGGCGGACCTGAGGGTGGAGATTCAGCCGTGCAGCGGAAGAACTGGGTCCGGAGCATTTACGTTGGTGAGGTAAGTGCTGAACCGCCCAGGCTTACGCACTGATTGTCTCCCAGGTCTTTACCGATTGTCTTTACCGACCGGGATCTCCCTCCTACCGGTGAAGATCACAATGATCCATTGGTCATCACCATGGACATTAATGGGGTGGATGTCGCCCGGGTACTTGTTGATACCGGCAGCAGTGTCAACATCTTATACCTGGAGACTTTCCAAAAACTCAGGTTGTGTCGGACACAACTTGAACCCCTTAAAACTCCTCTCTCAGGCTTCACGGGAGACACCGTTGAAGCCGAAGGATCCATAGTTCTACCTGTCGAACTAGGATCGGGTGAAAAAACCGTATGGAAGAAGATGCGGTTCATAGTTGTGGACATCAAATGCGTCCACAACGCAATTCTTGGAAGGCCAGGCATCAATAAGGTCGGGGCGGTGATTTCCATGCCTCACCTGTGCATGAAGTTCTACACTCCAGGTGGTGTGGGTGAGGTGAAGGGTGACCAGAGGAACACCCGGGAGTGCTATGCCCGGGCAGTCAAGAAGATGACCAAGGGGGTCAATGTCATCTCCCAAGAGATCACAAAGGGAGAGACCCGGGAGAAATTGGAGCCCGAGGCCGAGACGGTGGAAATCGAACTTCACCCGGGTGATTCTTCGAGGATGGTCAGAATTGGAGCAAATCTCCCCGAAGATCTCAAGGCAGAGATTACACGGGTCCTCCAAGAATACGCGGGCATATTCGCATGGAGCGTGGCGGATATGCCCGGAATAGATCGCTCTATTATCTGCCACCGGTTGGCCGTGAGGGAAGGAAGTCGACCGGTACGTCAGAAGAAGCGGTACCTGGCAAGTGACCGGCGAGACTTCGTCAAGAAGGAAGTGAAGGACCTCCTCAGTGTTGGTTATATCCGGGAAGTCAAGTACCCGGATTGGCTGGCCAACGTTGTCCTTGCTCCCAAGGGCGACACGTGAAGAATGTGTGTGGATTATACGGACTTGAACAAAGCTTGTCCGATGGATTCATACCCCCTTCCCAGTCCAGATCAAATGGTGGACGAAACTGCGGGGTGCGAACTCCTAAGTTTCATGGATGCCTTCAAAGGTTACCACCAAATCTACATGGCCAAGGAAGATGAAGAAAAGACGTCATTCCTCACACCCGAAGGAACCTACTATTACCGGGTAATGGCGTTTGGCTTGAAGAACTCAGGAGCAACCTACCAGCGTATGGTGAACAAACTCTTCAAGCCACTGCTGGGAAAAACCATGGAGGCATACGTCGACGACATGCTGATCAAAAGCCAGGTATCTCTCAACCACCCGGCTGATATGCGAGCCACGTTCGATATCATGGCAAAATACAATCTCCGGCTGAATCCTAAGAAATGCGTCTTCGCGGTTCGTACCGGGAAGTTCTTGGGATTTATGGTAACCAAGAGAGGAATAGAGCCCAACCCAGAGAAAATCCGGGCCATCATTTAAATGCAAGCCCCTACCTCCGTTAGGGATGTTCAAAAGTTGACTGGTTCCCGGTCAGCTGAGAGATCCCTGCCCTTCTTCAAAGTTCTGAAGAAGGCCAACACATTTGCATGGGACGAAGAATGTCGGAGGGCATTTGAGGAGCTGAAAGAGTACCTAGCGTCGGATGTTGTATTGTCTAAACCCGAACCGGGTGAAACTCTGTATCTGTACCTGGGAATTTCCCCAAATGCTGTAAGCTCCGTTTTAACAAGAGATGATGGGGCACAAAAGCCCATTTACTATGTGAGCAAAGCACTAAACGGAGCTGAGAGTAGGTACACGACGATGGAAAAGACAGCCTATGCGCTTTTCATCTCCGCAAAAAAGTTAACATCCTACTTCCAAGCTCACTCGGTGGAAGTCTTGACTGACCAACCGCTAGGTGCAGTGTTGCGAAATTTAACATCCTCCGGGAGGATGGTGAAGTAGGCGATGATGTTAACTCAATTCAACATTGAGTACCGGCCAAGGTCAGCAATCAAGGGACACGCCCTTGCTGACTTCTTGGTAGAAATGACAGGTCTAACTCCAGACCTACTGGTCAACAAGCCCACTGAGCAATGGTGGGAGATGGCAGTTGATGGAGCATCCGGTCCTAGAGGATACGGGGGTGGTATCGTGTTCACCACCCGAGAAGGGTTCAAGATCTACCATGCAATCGTCTTCAACTTCAAACTGACAAACAATGAGGCAGAATACGAAGCTCTGGCTGGAGGGCTCAGACTTGCCCAAGCCCTGAAAATCAGCCGGGTCAGTATCAAATCTGACTCTAGCCTGATTGTTGGGCAAGTGACCGGTAACATGGAAGCAAGAGAAGGACGCATGGCACAATATAGGGACCTTGTACTTGCCCTGTTGAAAGGCTTCGAAGAGTTCAAGATCGCCCAAATTCCCCGGACGGAGAACGCGGATGCAGACCTTCTCTCCAAGTTGACGCAGTATGCTCCCGAGCATGTTAAAAAACTTGCCCGGGTGGAAATCCTAGATCGAGCAAGCATCGAGAAACTGGAAGTCGCCGCTATAATAGCCGGAAGCCAATATGACCGGTCAAACCTGGTCGGGGCGGACGACCATTTGATGTATGATCTGATGGAATATTTGATGGATGGGAGCTTGCTTGAACAAGATGACCGGGCAAGAAAAGTGAAGCTCAGGGCACCCCGATTCCAAGTTCTTGATGGAAAACTGTATAAAAGGGCATTTGGGGGGCCACTCCTGAGATGTCTAACCAACCAGGAGGCTGAGCGAGTCATAGCGGAGGTACACGAAGGCGTATGCGCGGCGCATCAAATGTCCCGTACGCTTTCCCAACGCATCATCTTGTTGGGGTATTACTGGCCGACAATTGTCCAGGATTGTGAGAGGTACGTTCAGAAATGCAGGACGTGCCAAGTATTCTACAAGTATCCCGGTAGACCGGCGACCTACTATCACCCCGTATCAAACGTCATCCCGTTCGCTACATTCGGGGTGGATATCATTGGAGCCTTCCCAGTCGCCCAAGGAGGGAAGAAGTTCGTAATCGTAGCCATCGATTACTTCACCAAATGGATCGAGGCCGAGGCATTGGCCAACATCACCACGCAGCAATGCAAGAAATTCATTTGGAAGAACATCATCACGAGGTTTGGAGCGCCCATGAACCTCATCACCGACAACGGCCCACAATTCCGAAATCCAAGGTTCACCGAATACTTGGAGGGCTTCGGAATCAAGCACAATCGCTCCTCGGTGGCGTACCCCCAAGGAAATGGCCAAGTCGAAAACGCCAATAGGACTATTGTACATGGTTTGAAGAAACGGCTGGGAGAAGCAGGAAACAAGTGGCTAGAGGAGCTCCCGCACATCATATGGGCATTCTGAGTAACACCCAGGAGGGCTCATGGGGAAACTCCATTCTCCCTAACCTATGGGTGTGAAGCAAGGCTGCCCATCGAAGCTGAATTCCCCACGTTTCGGGAGTCAAATTATCAACCCCATCAGAATGAGGAGGATCACTTGGCCGAACTCAACTTGGTCGAAGAGCGGAGAATGGCCGCAGAAGTTAAAATGAGTACATACCAACAAGTTGTGAAGAAGTACCATGACAACAAGGTTGGGCCGCGGTACTTCCAAGTTGGAGATGAAGTCCCACGAAGAAGAGAAGCAAGTAGACCCGGCGATGGAGGAAAGCTGGCAAAAAACTGGGAAGGCCCATACAGGGTTAGAGCCATCATTCGCCCAGGAACCTACCGGTTAGAAACTTTAGATGGTGTACCGATAGAAAGAACTTGGAATTCCCACCATCTTCGCAAGTTCTACAAATGATTGTAATACTAGGCGAGGCCTAACTACATTGTCAATCAAAGTGATGTTCAATACTCTGCTTGGTAACGGCGGAATTGATAGGTCGAACCTATCCTAGGAGGGCTTTCCGGGTGGATCGAATCCACTTGGAAAAGCCAACTGAGACATAGGCCCGGACCTGGCACGCTGGTTACTACACCAGTCTTGCTCAGTATAGTAGAAAAAATATTAACCCGGAAGAGGGGCCCGGAAGAGGGTATGCCTGCAAGAGGGCTGGACCTTGAAGAGGGTTCGAACCGTACTTACCTGGGCCCATGAGGTTTGACCGGTATCGGGGAATCAGCCAGTACCGTCAAATTGATTGGGGACTAAAAGATGCCCATTAAAAGAAATAGAAGGGGATCGTCCACCATGGCGCATCCTGTTTCCCCCTTCTCAGGGAAGACTTGAACGGGGGGGTGAGCTAAGGCCTTCCCGGGATAGTAGAAATCAAAGGGCCATTAAAAGACTTAATCACCCGGAAGAGGGGGCCCTAGAAGAAGGGTGCATTTGAACCTTGGAGAGGGTTCGAAACCATTCGACATGGTTAAATCTCTAGTATTCTTACCGGTTAAGGATACTTCATGAATTACTAGGTTACAGGTGTTTCCATTTACAACCTACCGGTCAAAAAAAAAAGAATACCTCGGTCGGGTATGGGCACAACAAAACTTCGAAAGTTCTACATCCATCGAAAGGCAAGGCAGTTGACCGGTCAAACCATGGAGTGGGAACTCATCGGTCAAATTAAACTTTGTCGAAGAATTCGTGAAGACATCCAAAAAGCCAAAGTGAAGTCCAGCCGGTTCACTTTAGTTCAACCGGGTTGTACTTAGCGTATTCAAAAACAAGCCAAGAAAGCGAAAATTGAAGTTTGACCGGTCAAAGTTACTCGGGCTGATCTTTGAGATAAAGTGATCATAGAGAACTTTGGAGTTCTGCCGGTCGGAAACAATTGAAGTGGCCTGATTTATTTACCGGTCGGGATTTCTATGATGATATTCCAAGAAGCAAGAGCAAAGATATCAATCAAGAAACAAGCAGATATGCAGGATTAACCGGTATGGAAATTAAACATGGCATTCAAATGAAATGAAAATGTTAAGTGTTTACAGCTACACCGGGCATCCCTGGGGAAATTTCAAGTTGAGAAGTTTTACAAAAACAACCGGTCTAGACCGAGGAGATTCTAATCTAAGGGGAAAGGGGGAGTAGGCTCTTCCTCTGGGATAGGAGCCAGGCCGTAGGAAGCCGCAGTGAAGGCCGGGTCTCTCTTCAGGAGGATCCGGTGAGAAGCTGCCCGGTCTTTCTTTTGACCGCACTTGAATCCGAAAGATCCAACGGCGGTAATCATCTTCTTCCCTTCAGGCTCCCGGTACAAAAGCCTGAAGGACTCTATCGTGGCTTCCGGCGTCGCCGTCATCACCCGGGCAGCAGTGGCTTTGTTTTCTTCCACCCAGGCAGCTGCGCGCCCCGGGAAGATTTCTTCCTTCTCCGCCATTTCCCTCTTGGTTTCAGAGACTTCATCCAGGAGCCGGCCATTCTCCTCCTTCAGCTGGGAGATCTCGGTCTTCATTGCCCCGGCCAGCCCAGACAGCCTGATCAACTCATCAGCCTGGCTCTTCAAGATGAGTGCCATCTCTTCTTTCTCCTTCTTCAGCCGGTCGACTTCAGAAGGGGAACTCATTCCCAACCGGTCCACTGTATGCGGCCCGATCTCCCCCGCCTGCATAAAAAAAGAAACAAACCGGTAAGTTTCTCGACAAAGGAAAAAGAAGATCAAGACCGGGATAGCAGCAGGACTTACCTCCTTCAGCCTCAGCCCCAGGTTGATGAAGGCCTCTTCGATGGTCTGGCCGGCCGGCTCGGGATCAGACCTTGCCCTCTTCTTGGCGTAAGAAGGGTGCGTGGTGGCCACCTTCTTTGTCCGTCGGCCGGTCTTTTCCTTTTCCTTCCCCTTAGACCGGTTGTCTTGGGGCTCGTCTTCGTCAAGGATTTCCACGGTCTCTGGATTGACAGGGAAGGTTCTGGTAGTGTTGGCTTGGTAGCCCCCGGTCTCTCCCGCTGGTTGGTCGTCGGGGATGGCGAACTCCTCGAACTCCATATCTGCAAGAGAAGCTGAAATCGTTAAGTACAAGAAACGACACCGGTCAAAGCGCCAATCACAAGGAAAACAATATATATATATATATATATATATATATATATATATATATATATAGACACACACACACACACATATATATACCTGGGTGGTTCTGGCCCTCAGCCTCTGCAGTGTTGCCCAGGGAGGGTACCCCGCGCCCCGCTGCTTCCTGGGCCTGAGAGGTACCCTCACCACCCGACTCTACCCTCCAAACCCAGCTGCCTTGATGGAAGATCCTCCCGGTTAGAGGATCCCCGCGCATGAGGACCTCAAGATTTGCTTCCAAGTCAGGGGAGGAAGCCGGTGTAGCGTACTCTTGGTCGAGCAGATGGTCGTTCCAGTTCAGACCGGCCAAAGGAGTGACAAAGGGGGGAAACTCGATGAAAACAAATTTTTCCTTCCATCCCCGGTTACTCTGGGGGACATCGGAAATGAACTTCCTACCGGTACGGGCTTTGAAGAATACAAAACCTTCGCAGCCAGTCCCGCCCGGTAGGACTTCAAAGCAAAAAAGGAAAAGACGCATGGAGGGGAAGATTTTTAGATGAGTACATATATTTACAAAGGAATGGAGATACCGGTGGGTGTTAGGAGTTATTTGGCTGGGCAAAATCCTAAACGCGTGGCATACTTCGGTTAGGAGGGGGCGAAGGAGAAAAACTATGCCCGCATCCAGTGATATGGTATGGAACCCTATCCTATCCTCCCGGTGGGGTTCGACAATGTTGGGCCAGTTGGGTTCATACAGGAGGGTATACCCATCCGGGAGCCTCCTACAAATTTTATTCAAAGCGATTTTGGATACACGGGAAGGGATGTCAAGGACGTAGATGGTGGGGAGCGGAAAGGTACCGGCAGCATGAAGCCGCTCCTCCCACGCATCCCGGGTTTCATTTTCAAGGTCATAGGGACCCGGTTCGTCATCGATCGGGTCATCCCTCCCCATAAAATTTTCACTGGGCATCTGATTAACAGGATGCGGGTCGGGAATAGAGGAGTGGGGAACCTGACCGGGCGTGGAGTCAGGAGAAGAAGACCCGGTCGAGGAAGATGAGTTGGAGGCCTTAGAGGAGCAGTCCTCTGAGGACGAGATCCTATCGCTAAAAGAAGACATGGCCAGGAAAGAAAAAAGAGAAGGAAGGGGAAACTTACTTGACTCGGAGGGCTAGATAGCGAAGAGAAGGAACTTGACCGGTGAAAGCTCTGAGACTTGATCGCGGAAAGTGAACAAAGAAGAGGGGTGGAGGCCTTTATATAGGAAGAGGAGGGATGAAAGGAGCGACGTGGCCTCCTTAGGTTGCGCCGCGTCAGGCGGCGCAATGATGACCCACTGGCAGGCGAAACGATGGGTGTGCAGCCGACTGATTGCAATGGTTGATGCGCGACACGTGGCAAAAATCAAAGTTTGAAATTCAAATTTCAAAAAATTTGGGCGGGAAGAGCCAAAATCTTAAAATTGGAGTCCTATTTCAGACTTTTTACTTCCCGCTCATGACAAATTGCATGACCGAGAAGTGGAGGGCTTATTGATGGGTGTATTCCACCCACGACCGGTCAAAGGAGAAGGCCAATTAGTTGACCGGTCAATCTCGAAAGTTTGGGAAGGGAAACTTAAATCGTCAGCAAATCGATATGTAATCGGCCCAAAGATGACCGGTGTACTTCACGAAAAAGTATACCGGTCAAACTACTTTGTCCCCCTATTTTTCCCTAACTTCGATGATTTCAGCCCACGGAGATTACCCGGTGTAGTTTCTAGGGTTGGAAAGTGTCGGCAGAAGAGAATCTAAGAGGGTTTGGCGTGTAGCGACCCATGTCAGTAGAGGACAACTGGAGATGCCGAAGAATCCATCCAAGGCACTACTCGACAAAGGGAGTAATCCCCCTCACAAGGCGACAAGGCAGCTCGAGGACGAAACCAATCACCTCGCACCGCATCAGCAGCGTGCCCCCACATGGGCGCACGTGGTCTTGTCCCCCATAGCCTAGTATAAATACTCATGTAAACCTCAGAAAGAGGGATCCGAATTCATTCTCTCTAACTCCCTTGAAAAAGCACCCGTGCATTCTCCGTTATAATATAAATTGGGCTACAGGTGTTCCACCTAAAGTCCTACCGGTCAATGTGCGTGTTTTTACCTTTCTTACTTTGCCAAATCAAGCAGACTATTCTAGACCCGGTCTAGTATAGTTTGACCGGTCACGTAATTTACACCATCAGGTATTATATATTCACATTATTATTATTATTTATATTATAACTTTTATTTTAGGAATAAAAATATGAAATTCTAATTTTAATAATATTTTTTTATGTTTTACTCTATGTTTAATTTTTTGTTAATTTCATTTAAAAAAGTATAATACGGAATATTTTTCAAAAAGCGAATAAAATGAAATATCGACCTTAAAAATTAAAATAATGATAAAACATTCTTTTTTCGTCCGGAAACTATCTTTCCTCTTTGACATTTGCTAATGAAAACTTTACTATATACATTTGAAAATGAACATGTCAAAGTCTTATTTAAATTACAATATTTTGGAAAATCTCGAGGTAAAACATTTTTATGTGAAGTTGTAGAGACTACGTAAGGCATCTACAATTAACCGTGAGTGAACATTCACTTGGTAAAAAAAAATCGTATAAAGTACAATGTTAGACCTTAACTTTTTTGTGGGGTACAATTGACGGGGAAGGTGGGTGGGTTCGTATCAAGCCAAGGTGGGGGGTTTGCTGGGAGTTAAGGAGGATAGGAAACATCAATTTTTCAAATGGAACACCGTAGGGACCCCGGGTCATTCCATTAAGAAATACAAACTATTGAGAAATGTATTCTTTGAAACTTCAAGGGTAATCCTATATATATTGAATGATACATAACTTATTTAGGGTGCGTAAACCTCGGTTGAGCTAATTATTAACGCCACTACTCCCACACCTGTTGTGGTTGAGCAGTCGGCATCCCCGATCGTTGAGCCATATGTTCCTCCTACCGGAGTTGAGAAAGGCTCCGTTGTTGCTTCTCTTCCTCTCTCTACTTTTTCTTCTTCTCCTATTGTACATGTTCCCGATCCTCAACCCCCCGAGCTGGCTCTGGCTATGTCTAATACTTTTGATTCTTTGGGGGAGCTGCCTAGGGACAGTCATGAGGGCTGCGACTTTAATTCTGCTGCATCCTCCATTCCTTCCAATTCGGTAAGGAAGGAGGATGACGATTGTAGTTCGCAGACTAGTGACAGGTCCATGGGTGATCATTTTGAGGATCCAACTGACATTGCCCGGGATCTTGCAGCGAGTGGTGTCTCCCCTACAAGGGAGGCTCCGACCACAAGGGGTAAGTCGGCTAAAAACGCTCGAAAGGCAACAGAGCACAAGACGGGGGTGCCTTCTGCTCCACGCAGAGTCACCCGTTCCACTTCTTCTCATTCTCAATAATGATGCGGTTCCTTGTTTGGAACGTGAGGAGCATCACCTCACAGGATGTCCTTTCTAAGCTTCGAATTTTACTTAAGCAGCACACCCCAGTGTTGTTAGGTATTTTAGAGCCTATGAAGGCATCCTCGCAGATTGACTATTATAGGACACTGTTGGGTTTCACGGGAGCTAGGTGTGGTGCAGATGACCAAATCTGGCTCTTTTGGAACTTTGACATTGCGCCGTCCATTCATTTTATTTCTTATTTTGCACAGTCACTAACCTTTTCTTTCTCTCACCCTTCTTTTCCTAACCCTATTTGGTTGTCAGTTGTTTATGCAAAATGTAAGTACAGGGACAGGGAGCCATTATGGGAATACCTTAGAGAGACACACGCTGCTCTCCCGGCTGACATGGCATGGGGGTGGTGGGTGATTTCAACTGTCTGCTCGATCCTTCGGAGAAGAAAGGCGGCCGGCCATATGCTCGAGTCAAATATCGGCCATTTGTTGAATGTGTGGAGGATTGTGGACTGGTTGATTCTCCTTTCATTGGGGAGGATTATACCTGGTTCAACAATCGAGTGGGCGGCGTGGAGATTCGGAGCCGGATTGATCGTTTGCTTTTTAACCAGCCGTGGACGGATATGTTCTCTTGTTTGGTGCATCACTTGGATAGAGTTGGATCTGATCATGCTCCTCTGTTGGTGGAGTGTAAGTCTCATGGACGTCCTCCTGCACGGCCTTTCACTTTCCTTAATGTCTGGACAGAGCACGAGGATTTTCAGAAAGTGGTAGCCGACTCTTGGAGGGAGGACATTACTGGCAATCCCATGTTCGTATTTGGTGCTAAGCTCAAGCGTCTGGCACATCGCTTGAAGAGATGGAACCGAGACACCTTCGGTCACATCTTTGATAGGCTTAAGGTGCTTGAGCAGGATGTTCGGGATATTGAGCTACAGCTACAGACAGATTCTTCAGATGAGACTTATATCGAGTTCAAGCGGCGCTCTGCACTTTTGAAGCGCCAGTATCGTATCGAGGATGAGTTTTGGCGGCAGAAAGCCCATGCGAAATGGGTGACGGACGGGGAGAGGAACTCGGGGTACTTTCACTCTGTAGTGAAAAATCGCCGGCGGAAGCTCTACATTCACCGCATACAGAATGACCGTGGGCAGTGGGTCACGGAGAGAGCTGCGATTGCGATGCAGGCGATTACCTTTTTTCAGGCCATGTTCACTGCAGATCCTAGTGTTACATCTTCGGCCTTAGACATGATTCCACGGTTGGTCACTGATGAGGATAATGACCGGCTATGCGCTGTTCCGGAGATGGAGGAGGTCAAGACTGCGGTCTTTGCTATGGACTCTAAGAGTGCAGCGGGTCCCGATGGCTATATTGGGGCCTTTTATAAGGCCGCTTGGACGATAATTTGCACGGACTTATTGGCGATGGTACATGCCTTTTTCTTAGGCCACGATCTGACTCGCCCTCTCACGCACACTTCTATTGTTCTATTGCCCAAGAAGTCCAATCCTGTGACCTTTGCGGACTTTAGACCCATCAGTTTGTGTAATTACTGCAAGAAGATCATCACGAAGATTATGGTTGTTCGCTTGGCTTCCGTGCTCCCCCGGCTGCTTTCCCCGCATCAGAGTGGGTTTGTGGCGGGGCACTCTATCACTGATAATATTCTTTTGGCTCAAGAGATGTGTCACGGGATGCGGGTGGATAATGAAGATGTCATTCTGAAGCTGGACATGATGAAGGCCTATGACCGGGTCTCCTGGTATTTCTTGATGTCAGTACTGCGCCGATTTGGATTTTCGGAGACTTGGATCGATCTGGTCTATCGGGCCATCTCGAATATTTGGTACCCAGTCATTATTAATGGGATTCGAGAGGGCTTTTTCCAATCAACGAGGGGCTTGCAGCAGGGGGACCCACTCTCTCCGTCCTTGTTCATCCTATCAACGGAGGTTCTTTCTCGTTCTTTGGCTCGGCTGTATGCAGATCCTATAGTTGCTCGTTTTACACAGCCCCGTGATGCACCACATATCCATCATCTTGCCTACGCCGACGACATTGTCATCTTCACTTCGGCGAGGGGGGACACTTTAGAGAGAGTTCGTGCAGTTTTACGTTCCTATGAGCAGATTTCAGGCCAGGCTGTCAGCCTACCTAAGAGTGCCTTCTTTATGCACCCTAAGGCGTTGGCACCCGTGTTGGAGCGTGTTCGAGATACCCTCGAGTGTTCATTGGATGTGCTTCCATTCACTTATCTTGGCTGTCCTATTTATCATGGTCGGAAGCGCATTCATTACTTTGAGCCTGTTCTGAAAAAGATGCGGAACAAATGTTGTGCG